CTGTAGGAAATACTGTAGTGACTGTAGGTTATACTGTAGTGATGGGGACACTACACCACAGTGACTGTAGGAAATACTGTAGTGACTGTAGGTTATACTGTAGTGATGGGGACACTAAACCACAGTGACTGTAGGAAATACTGTAGTGACTGTAGGTTATACTGTAGTGATGGGGACACTACACCACAGTGACTGTAGGTAATACTGTAGTGATGGGGACACTACACCACAGTGACTGTAGGTTATACTGTAGTGATGGGGACACTACACCACAGTGACTGTAGGTTATACTGTAGTGATGGGGACACTACACCACAGTGACTGTAGGTAATACTGTAGTGACTGTAGGTTATACTGTAGTGATGGGGACACTACACCACAGTGACTGTAGGTTATACTGTAGTGATGGGGACACTACCCCACAGTGACTGTAGGTTATACTGTAGTGATGGGGACACTACACCACATGACTGTAGGTATACTGTATGAGGGGACACTACACCACGCTGTAGGTATACTGTATGTGAATCTACGTAGTTAATACTTGTAGTAATGTTGATGGGGGAACTACACCACAGTGACTGTAGGTTATACTGTAGTGATGGAGGACACTACACCACAGTGACTGTGGTAATACTGTATGATGGGGACACTACACCCACAGTGACTGTAGGTTATACTGTAGTGACTGTAGGTAATACTGTAGTAGTGACTGTAGTTAATACTATAGTGATGGGGACCTACACCACAGTGACTGTAGGTTAATACTGTAGTGACTGTAGGTAATACTGGTAGTGATGGGAGACACTACACCACAGTGACTGTAGGTTATACTGTAGTGACTGTAGGTTATACTGTAGTGATGGGGACACTACACCACAGTGACTGTAGGTAATACTGTAGTGATGGGGACACTAACCACCAGTGACGTAGGTATACTGTAGTGACTGTAGGATTATATACTGTAGTGACTGTAGGTATACTGTAGTGATGGGGACTACAACGTGACGGATACGCTAGTGACTGTAGGTTATACTGTAGTGATGGGGACACTACACCACAGTGACTGTAGGTTATACTGTAGTGATGGGGACACTACACCACAGTGACTGTAGAATACTGTAGTGACTGTAGGTTATACTGTAGTGATGGGGACACTACACCACAGTGACTGTAGGAAATACTTAGTGACTGTAGGTTATACTGTAGTGATGGGGACACTACACCACAGTGACTGTAGGTAAATTACGTAGTAGTGACTGTAGGTTATACTGTAGTGATGGGGACACTACACCACAGTGACTGTAGGTAAACTGATGGAACTACCCCGTACGTAGTTGACTGTAGGTGTATACTGTAGTGATGGGGACACTAAACCACAGTGACTGTAGGTAATACTGTAGTGACTGTAGGTTATACTGTAGTGATGGGGACACTACACCACAGTGACTGTAGGTATATGTGACTGAGGTTACTTGTGATGGGGGACACTACACCACAGTGACTGTAGGTTATACTGTAGTGATGGGGACACTACACCACAGTGACTGTAGGTTATACTGTAGTGATGGGGACACTACACCACAGTGACTGTAGGTTATACTGTAGTGACTGTAGGTTATACTGTAGTGATGGGGACACTACACCACATGACTGTAGGTATACTGTAGTATGGACACTACACCCAGTGACTGTATACGTATGATGGGGACACTACACCACAGTGACTGTAGGTTATACTGTATGACTGGGGAACTACACAGTGACTGTAGGTAATACTTATATGGGGACACTACACCACAGTGACTGTAGGTTACTGTATTGTGGACACACCACTACTGATAGTAGTGACTGTAAGTTGGGTAATACTGTAGTGATGGGGACACTACACCACAGTGACTGTAGTTATACTGTGTGACTGTAGTAATACTGTAGTGAGGGGACACTACACCACAGTGACTGTAGGTAATACTGTAGTACTTGGGGGACACTACACCACAGTGACTGTAGGTTATACTGTAGTGATGGGACACTACACACGTGACGTAGTTGAACTGTAGTGTTGGAACTCACTAGTAGACTGAGTGGGGACACTACACACGTGACTGTAGGTTAATACTGTAGTGACTGTAGGTAATACTGTAGTGATGGGGACACTACACCACAGTGACTGTAGGTTATACTGTAGTGACTGTAGCATACTGTAGTGATGGGACTAATTACACACAGTGACTGTAGGTATATACTGTAGTGAGGGGGACACTACACCACGTGACTGTAGGTTGTTACTGTAGTGATGGGGACACTACACCACAGTGACTGTAGGTATACTGTAGTGATGGGGACACTACACCACGTGACGTAGGTTATACTGTAGTGACTGTAGTTAATACTGTAGTGATGGGACACTACACCACATCGTGATGTGAGGAATACTGTACTGAGTAATGGGACACTACACCACGTGACTGTAGGTATACTGTAGTGACTGTAGTAATACTGTAGTGATGGGGACCTACATCCACACAGTGACTGTAGGTATACTGTAGTGATGGGGACACTACACCACAGTGACTGTAGGTAAATACTGTAGTCATGGGGACACTACACCACAGTGACATGTAGTTAACTGTAGTGACTTACTATAATACTGTAGTGATGGGACACTACACCACAGTGACTGTAGGTTATACTGTACTGAAGGTAATATGTAGACTGACCTGACTGAGTAATCATTAGTTGAATGGGGCACTACATCCTGTGACTTATTAAATACATAGTGACTGTAGTACATACTTGTATATGGTGACCATCACCAGTGACTTGGTTCAACGTAGTGACTGTAGTCCATACTTATATCACTACACACAGTGAGTAGTAATATGTTAGTAATGTGGACATTACACTCACAGTACTGTACGTATATTATATGACTGTAGGTTAATACTTGTATGTGTCAGGAATACCACAGTGAAAATGGGGACAGACTTACTACCATCATACTGTACTTAACAGTAGTATGTAGTTTATTGATGCTCGTTACACCTTCTTTACATTCAAATGTAATTCACTGACTCATTGGGATCATACCCCCGACAGTGACTTACTGGAATTCACTTTCTAGAACTTCAGTAATAGCTCATAGAGCCACTCACCTGATGTTGCAATCATCACAACATCACCCTGACCTTCCTGACTTTTAAAATAATGAATACCTTGTACTTCACTTGACCCTCTAATTATTTCATCATTACCTTCACCGACTCATATGACCCTCATATTCATTGACCCTCGACTATGAATAATCACTTGACCTTCCTAGAATTCATAAAAGCCTCACTAACCTCCATTCCTTTAGTTCAAAATTACCAACCCTCTGACACTCACCTTACCTCACCTTAATCATTGACACTCACCTGATCTCCACTTGACTCCCTGACATCAATCTCTGAATCTCCTTGACATTCATAAATGACCACCCCACCTTGACCTCTCCACCTTGACCACTCCACCTTGACCTCTCCACCTTGACCTCTCCACCTTGACCTCTCCACCTAGACATTCATAACCTTGTTTTAGGCCTCTTGACAATTCAAAGTTCTCAGAGTAGTAACCATTATTTATTATTTTACATAAAGGATTGTTGTACATGACTTTTGCCCATTTTATGAGGGATTCTCCAAAGTTGAAATAATCCAGGCACTTATAAACAGATTCAAGACGTACTGTGTATCAAATGCTTTCTCAAAATCTGCTATGAAGATTACACTGCATTTCCCTGCATTATCATAGTTTTCCCATTATTTCTAGTAGTTGTCTAATGTTGTCTCCAATATATCTTTCTTTTAAGAATCCCGTCTGATCGTGATGAATAATGTCCTGTAGGACCATTTTTATTCTATTGAGCAATACATTTTGCCAATATTTTTGCGTCACAAAATGATCGTGTCACAATATCTCCTATAACCAATTACTCTGCTAATTGGTTATAGGAGATAATACGTCCATTATATATACATGTCAGCCCTTACATAGTCCCATTGTAAACAGAGAAGCTAGAGAAATCAAATTGACCCTGGACCATCTCAGAGCTCACTCCCCCCTCATAGTCCACACCCTCAACCCTCCACTCTCCCCAGACTACCCCTGTTACTCCCAGATTCGCATCTTTCACAAGAGAGCAGTTTTACAGTGGGAATTGGAAAGGGAGGAATTAATTGAATAGTTATTGGCTTGTAATTGTAAATTGCAGTTACGTTATGTCATACTGTTAGCCTAATGCTTTCACTAGCCACCATGCCGTTTCACTGCAGACGTTATGTCATGCTGTTAGCCTAATGCTATCACTAGCCTCCAGGCCGTTTCACTGCAGATGTTATGTCATACTGTTAGCCTTATGCTATCACTAGCCTCCAGGCCGTTTCACTGCAGACGTTATGTCATACTGTTAGCCTAATGCTATCACTAGCCTCCAGGCTGTTTCACTGCAGACATTATGTCATACTGTTAGCCTAATGCTATCACTAGCCTCCAGGCTGTTTCACTGCAGACGTTATGTCATACTGTTAGCCTAATGCTATCACTAGCCTCCAGGCCGTTTCACTGCAGACGTTATGTCATACTGTTAGCCTAATGCTATCACTAGCCTCCAGGCTGTTTCACTGCAGACGTTATGTCATACTGTTAGCCTAATGCTATCACTAGCCTCCAGGCTGTTTCACTGCAGACGTTATGTCATACTGTTAGCCTAATGCTATCACTAGCCTCCAGGCCGTTTCACTGCAGACGTTATGTCATACTGTTAGCCTAATGCTATCACTAGCCTCCAGGCCGTTTCACTGCAGACGTTATGTCATACTGTTAGCCTAATGCTATCACTAGCCTCCAGGCTGTTTCACTGCAGACGTTATGTCATACTGTTAGCCTAATGCTATCACTAGCCTCCAGGCCGTTTCACTGCAGACGTTACGTCATACTGTTACCATTTATCATATAGCAGTATGTTACTGCAGATGTGAGGTTATGACATTGTATTGTTCTCCTCAACAGACACCTAGGCCTGGACCTCGTACCCAGGAAGGAGTTTGAGATGGTTGATGCAGACCAGATCAGCGTCTCAGACTTATACAAAATGGTAGGTACCATTGACCACTGTAGAGACTTAAACAAAATGGCAGACCAGTGACCACTGTTGACACTTAAACAAAATGCTAGGTACCACTTACCACTTTAGAGACTTAAACAAAATGGTAGGTACCACTGACCACTGTAGAGACTTACACAAAATGGCAGACCAGTGACCACTGTAGAGAGTTAAACAAAATGGCAGACCAGTGACCACTGTAGAGACTTAAACAAAATGGCAGACCAGTGGCCACTGTAGAGAGTTAAACAAAATGGCAGACCAGTGACCACTGTAGAGACTTACACAAAATGGCAGACCAGTGACCACTGTAGAGACTTAAACAAAATGGTCGGTACCACTGACCACTGTGGAGACTTAAACAAAATGGTAGGTACCACTGACCACTGAACTGTAATATGTAGTTGTTTTTTCTTACTGACTAAGTCGCTCTGGAAAAGGGCGTCTGCTAATTAACCAAAATGTAAATGTTATACAAAATGGTTGGTACCACTGGACTGTACGTATATTTATTTTATTTTACCCTTATTTTACCAGGTGACTGAGAACACATTCTCATTTACAGCAACGACCTGGGGAATAGTTACAGGGGAGAGGAGGGGGGATGAGTGTGCCAATTGGAAGCTGGGGATGATTAGGGGGCCATGGTGGTATGAAGGCCAGATGGGGAATTTAGCCAGGAGACTGGGGGGAGGGGCGTGTATGGTCGCACACGAGTCATGCCTGTTGCCGGTGTATGGAATATGCAGAAACCAGGCTGTGCTTAGAAAATAGATATTTAGTATATTTAGTCTAAATTCAGTGTAGCCATAACAACAGCTAAACTAGAACAGTTACAGTAGGCCTAATGGTGTTGTCTGAGCTCTAGAACAGGTACAGTAGGCCTAATGGTGTTGTCTGAGCTCTAGAACAGTTACAGTAGGCCTAATGGTGTTGTTTGAGCTCTAGAACAGGTACAGTAGACCTAATGGTGTTGTCTGAGCTCTAGAACAGTTACAGTAGGCCTAATGGTGTTGTCTGAGCTCTAGAACAGGTACAGTAGACCTAATGGTGTTGTCTGAGCTCTAGAACAGGTACAGTAGGCCTAATGGTGTTGTCTGAGCTTTTAAAAAATAACAGTAAACATTACACTCACAAAGGTTACAAAAGAATAAAGAAATGTCACATGTCAACAGGTCACAAATCTTGCAGCTGTGATGGCACACTGTGGTATTTCACCCAATAGATATTAGAGTTTAACAAAATTGGATTTGTTTTCAAATTCTTTGTGTGTCTGTGTAATCTGAGGGAAGTATGTGTGTCTAATATGGTCATACATTTGGCAGGAAGTTAGGAAGTGCAGCTCAGTTTCCTCTCTCAATAGCAAGGCTATGCTCACTGTACATAGTCAAAGCTTTCCTTGATTTTGGGTCAGTCACAGTGGTCAGGTATTCTGCCACTGTGTACTCTCTGTTTAGGGCCAAATAGCATTCTAGTTTTTTTGTTAATACTTTCCAATGTGTCAAATAATTCTCTTTTTGTTTTCTCATGATTTGGTTGGGTCTAATTGTTTTGCTGTCCTGGGGCTCTGTGGGGTCTGTTTGTGTTTGTGAACAGAGCCCCAGGACCAGCTTGCTTAGGGGACTCTTCTCCAAGTTCATCTCTCTGTAGGTGATAATTAGCGGGTATCGGCCTAATTCTGCTCTGCATGCATTATTTTGGGTTTTACGTTGTACGCTGAGGATATTTTAGCATAATTCTGCATGCAGAGTCTCAATTTGGTGTTTGTCCCATTTTGTGAATTCTTGGTTGGTGAGCGGACCCCAGACCTCACAACCATAAAGGGCAATGGGTTCTATAACTGATTCAAGTATTTTTAGCCAGATCCTAATTGGTATGTCGAATTGTATGTTCCTTTTGATGGCATAGCTCTCTCTCTCTCTCTCTCTTCTGTTCTCTCTCTCTCTTGTTGCTGCAGCATCTGTCCAGCAGACACAGTGTCCAGCAAAGCACAACCCAGGTAAAGCATACTCTCAGCAGTTGCTATCACACACTGTCAGTACTGCATGACAATTACGATCACCATGTGGAACTGTGCCAATGCCAATGTTTATTGTTCGTCAGATATTAAGCGGGAGTATTATCATATCACATGACATTATGCAGGCCCTCAGCTAACCCAACTGGTGACGAAGACCCAGCTTGGCCTACAGAAGAGGCCGTTGCCCTGCTAACAACATGACAGGAGACGTAACCTCCGTGGCTTTGTTTTTGTGTCTCGTCCCCACAGGGTGACCGTGTGCGCCAGGGCCCCGGTGTAGAGCCCTGTCGTATCCCCGTACCTCACCACCTGTTCGTCAGCCTGAAGAGCTTCACCTACAACACCATGGGTGAAGACACAGACGTCTTCTTCTCCCTCTACGACCTCAGGGAGGGGAAACAGATCAGGTGAAGAGAGGCTACAATAGAAATGCTACAATAAAGCTGAGACTAGAATGCTGGTGGTTTGGGTCTGTTTAACACAGACATCTTCTCTCTACGATCTCAGGGAGGGGAATCGGATCAGGGATTCTAGGGTTTCTAGGTGTGTGACATAGCTGGTTGGATAAACTACCATTAGGCTTTAGCTCAGCGGGCTAACACAGCAAGCATGTCAGGTGGGCGGGATTGCTACAGTTTCCACAGCAGTGTGCTAGAATGCTAGTGGTTGTGGTCTGTTCACGGATCACCCGGGGACCTGTTCAGCTCGTTCCCTAATCACATGTACTATATGACCTGAAGGAGGGCAAGCAGATCGGGTGGAGTGGAAATATGGTAAGGTTATAGAACACTGCATCCTGTCTCTGTTCCTATAACCTGCATTCAGAATAGAAAAACACGTGCTCCAGTTTGGATTCTTTGCGGATGAAAATAGGTGTTTACATTTGGATTGATTTCATTTATTCTATAAATATATTTTGAGGTTTACATTACCAACAGTTAAGGACTTTGCTTTCGTTAAGAACGTCATTACCTGTCAATTAGTCCTTGATGTTGAACCAGCCGTACAGTAATGCACTAATTAATTATCTATAGCTTTGTTAATGAGTGATAAATAATGTGTTGTTGTTTTAATTATCGTAAAACACAATGAATAGCTAATTAATATAATGACACTGATGTAGGGCAGGTTTTGTGTGTGTGTGAACAGTTTGTGTGTGTGGAGGGTTTGTATGTGTGCAGTAGTTACCAAGGAGACTTTGTTACCAAGGAGACTTCGTAACCAAGGAGTCTTCGTTACAAAGGAGGCATATTGAAATAAATTTGGGCTGAAGTATATCTTTCCTTGTCAAATATCTATCATCTCACCTCGCCAGGCAGTCCCTCCCACTCACAACCTGTCCATGAGTTTCAAGTTTTATTAGTTGTATGTACAGGATACACATGGTATACATCGTCCAACGAAGTGCTTACTTGCACGTTCCTTCTCGACAATGCAACAACCATAAGAAATAATTATAAACATTTTAGCATAAGTATACTGAACAAAAATATGAACGCAACATGCAACAATTTCAAATATTTTACTGAGTTACAGTTCATATAAGGAAATCAGTCAATTGAAATACATTCTTTAGACCCTAATCTATGTATTTCACATGACTGGGAATACAGATATGCATTTGTTGGTCACAGATACCAAAAAAAAGGAAGGGGCGTGGATCAGAAAACCAGTCAGTATCTGGTGTGACCACTATTTACCTCAAGCAGCGCAACACATCTCCTTCGCATAGAGTTGATCAGGCTGTTGATTGTGGCCTGTGGAATGTTGTCCCACTCCTCTTCAATGACTGTGCGAAGTTGTTGGATATTGGCGGGAACTGGAACATGCTGTCGTACGCGTCGATCCAGAGCACCCCAAACATGCTCAATGGGTGACACGTCTGTTGAGTAGCAGAACTGTGACATTTTAAAAGTAATTGAAGTATAAATTACAAAATGTTTGATACATTGCCATAGATTTTCTATTATTTACCAAAATTACTGAAGACTCCGGTAACTTTGGTAAATTACTGGTAGCTTTGCAACCATAGCTAGTACACTCTTTCCCTTTTGTGAGTGAATAGGTTCGTGTGTGGGTATCATACCTGTGTAGTTCTCAGCCTGGAGGTGCATGCAGTATTACCTGTGTAGTTCTCAGCCTGGAGGTGGATGCAGTATTACCTGTGTAGTTCTCAGCCTGGAGGTGCATGCAGTATTACCTGTGTAGTTCTCAGCCTGGAGGTGCATGCAGTATTACCTGTGTAGTTCTCAGCCTGGAGGTGCAGGCCACACAGCTTGTGGATGCAGTATTACCTGTGTAGTTCTCAGCCTGGAGGTGGATGCAGTATTACCTGTGTAGTTCTCAGCCTGGAGGTGCAGGTCACACAGCTTGTGGATGCAGTATTACCTGTGTAGTTCTCAGCCTGGAGGTGCATGCAGTATTACCTGTGTAGTTCTCAGCCTGGAGGTGCATGCAGTATTACCTGTGTAGTTCTCAGCCTGGAGGTGCAGGCAGTATTACCTGTGTAGTTCTCAGCCTGGAGGTGCATGCAGTATTACCTGTGTAGTTCTCAGCCTGGAGGTGCAGGCAGTATTACCTGTGTAGTTCTCAGCCTGGAGGTGCATGCAGTATTACCTGTGTAGTTCTCAGCCTGGAGGTGCAGGCCACACAGCTTGTGGATGCAGTATTACCTGTGTAGTTCTCAGCCTGGAGGTGGATGCAGTATTACCTGTGTAGTTCTCAGCCTGGAGGTGCATGTAGTATTACCTGTGTAGTTCTCAGCCTGGAGGTGCATGTCACACAGCTTGTGGATGCAGTATTACCTGTGTAGTTCTCAGCCTGGAGGTGGATGCAGTATTACCTGTGTAGTTCTCAGCCTGGAGGTGCATGCAGTATTACCTGTGTAGTTCTCAGCCTGGAGGTGCATGCAGTATTACCTGTGTAGTTCTCAGCCTGGAGGTGCATGCAGTATTACCTGTGTAGTTCTCAGCCTGGAGGTGCATGCAGTATTACCTGTGTAGTTCTCAGCCTGGAGGTGCGTGCAGTATTACCTGTGTAGTTCTCCAGTGAACCCAGATTCAGTTGTTATTAAAACAATATCTCCAGACTCTCCAGTGAACCCATATTCAATTATTAATAATCGTCCTGGTAGCCCACAGCTTCAATATTCTCTAAAACTAAAGTATCTTTTTAGTTTTAGAGACTGATAAAAAGCGCCTGCATTTTGAGAGCTAGCAGACTTTAGGCGGCCATCTTTGATTCATGTGCTGTAGTGTGTAGTTTGAGGTGTTCCGCCCACAGGGACTCTGGTCAAAAGTGGTGCACTAAATAGGGAATAGGATGGAGCCTGGGACTCTATCACTGTTACCCACAGCTCATCTCCCCTGGGATGAGAGATTCTCCATGTGTCTTTGTGTGTTAGAATATCCATACCTCAGCCTGACAAAGCACCAGCCAGCTACCTTAGAGGACTTCAAACTATTTCCATTTATCATCCTGGCTAAACACCTGCTAACTAGTAGCTAGCTTAGAGTGCAAACTATATGTATGTTATTAACATATTGCACCTCAGGAGCAATCGCTACACAAAAGTGTCAACTGGTTTTTGTTTCTGTTAGGATCTCTGGCTAAGCACCTGCTAGCTACTTCAGAGCACTAGTTAAAACCACAAGTGTGTTATTTGCATTTGTGGCTGGTACTTTCACCTGGAGCAGCAATCATTATACAAAAAGAAGCTGCCATACTTTAGAAAAATGGCCCATCAAACCTTTGCATAGAACAAAGAAGTAGAAATAACAATGTGGAGATGATTGGGTAAAAAAGGGGATTTAATGACCGCCTGCTATCTAGAAGGAGACATTACGCTGCATTCTATTCCCCTAGGACACTGATTGGCTGGCTCATATTCCACCTCGCTCTGTTGGGTACAGTTACCATAGGCTCTATTCCAATATTCACAATATCATTCCACTTAGAATTTAGTCTATTGAAACGGAATACTTCACAGATATTTCCTGCAAACATACAATTTCCTATTTTGTTCCCCTCTGTGAGAGAGGAACTGATTCACTGAAATTCCTTCTGCAGAATCATAAATCAAATCAAATTAAATTGTATTTGCCACATGCGCCAAATACAACAGGTGTAGACATTACAGTGAAATGCTTACTTACAAGCCCTTAACCAATGATGCAGTTTTTTAAGAATATTTTAAAAAGTGTTAAGTAAAAAATTGATAAGTAAAAAATTAAAAATTAAAATCATTAAAGCAGCAGTAAAATAAAATAACAGTAGGGAGGCTATATACAGGGGGTACCGGTACAGAGTCAATGTGCGGGGGCACCGGTTAGTCGAGGTAATTGATGTAATATGTACATGTAGGTAGAGTTAAAGTAACTATGCATAAATAATAAATAAAGAGGGGGATGGGGTGGGGTGGGGGGGGGGGGCAATGCAAATAGTCTGGATAGCCATTTGATTAGCTGTTCAGGAGTCTTATGGCTTGGGGGTAGAAGCTGTTAAGAAGCCTTTTGGACCTAGACTTGGCGCTCCGGTACCCCTTGTCGTGCGGTAGCAGAGAGAACAGTCTATGACTAGGGTGGCTGGAGTCTTTGACAATTTTTAGGGCCTTCCTCTGACACCGCCTGGTATAGAGGTCCTGGATGGCAGGAAGCTTGGCCCCAGTGATGTACTGGGCCGTACGCACTACCCTCTGTAGTGCCTTGCGGTCGGACGCCGAGCAGTTGCCATACCAGGCGGTGATGCAACCAGTCAGGATGCTCTCGATGGTGCAGCTGTAGAACCTTTTGAGGATCTGAGGACCCATGCCAAATCTTTTCAGTCTCCTGAGAGGGAATAGGCTTTGTTGTGCACTCTTCACAACTGTCTTGGTGTGTTTGGACCATGATAGTTTGTTGGTGATCTGGACACCAAGGAACTTGAAGCTCTCAACCTGTTCCACTACAGCCCCATCGATGAGAACGTTGGCCACCCGTATCTAGCTTGTGGGATAGAATAGATATGCTAGTAGCTTGCTGTTGGTGTGTAGATTAATAGATAGGCTAGTAGCTTGCTGTTGGTGTGTAGATTAATAGATAGGCTAGTAGCTTGCTGTTGGTGTGTAGATTAATAGATAGCCTAGTAGCTTGCTGTTGGTGTGTAAATTAATAGATATGCTAGTAGCTTGCTGTTGGTGTGTAAATTAATAGATAGGCTAGTAGCTTGCTGTTGGTGTGTAGATTAATAGATAGGCTAGTAGCTTGCTGTTGGTGTGTAGATTAATAGATAGGCTAGTAGCTTGCTGTTGGTGTGTAGATTAATAGATAGGCTAGTAGCTTGCTGTTGGTGTGTAGATTAATAGATAGGCTAGTAGCTTGCTGTTGGTGTGTAGATTAATAGATAGGCTAGTAGCTTGCTGTTGGTGTGTAGATTAATAGATAGGCTAGTAGCTTGCTGTTGGTGTGTAGATTAATAGATAGGCTAGTAGCTTGCTGTTGGTGTGTAGATTAATAGATAGGCTAGTAGCTTGCTGTTGGTGTGTAGATTAATAGATAGGCTAGTAGCTTGCTGTTGGTGTGTAGATTAATAGATAGGCTAGTAGCTTGCTGTTGGTGTGTAGATTAATAGATAGGCTAGTAGCTTGCTGTTGGTGTGTAGATTAATAGATAGGCTAGTAGCTTGCTGTTGGTGTGTAGATTAATAGATAGGCTAGTAGCTTGCTGTTGGTGTGTAGATTAATAGATAGGCTAGTAGCTTGCTGTTGGTGTGTACATTAATAGATAGGCTAGTAGCTTGCTGTTGGTGTGTAGATTAATAGATAGGCTAGTAGCTTGCTGTTGGTGTGTAGATTAATAGATCGGCTAGTAGCTTGCTGTTGGTGTGTAGATTAATAGATAGGCTAGTAGCTTGCTGTTGGTGTGTAGATTAATAGATCGGCTAGTAGCTTGCTGTTGGTGTGTAGATTAATAGATAGGCTAGTAGCTTGCTGTTGGTGTGTAGATTAATAGATAGGCTAGTAGCTTGCTGTTGGTGTGTAGATTAATAGATAGGCTAGTAGCTTGCTGTTGGTGTGTGGATTAATAGATAGGCTAGTAGCTTGCTGTTGGTGTGTAGATTAATAGATAGGCTAGTAGTTTGCGGTTGGTGTGTAGATTAATAGATAGGCTAGTAGCTTGCTGTTGGTGTGTAGATTAATAGATCGGCTAGTAGCTTGCTGTTGGTGTGTAGATTAATAGATCGGCTAGTAGCTTGCTGTTGGTGTGTAGATTAATAGATAGGCTAGTAGCTTGCTGTTGGTGTGTAGATTAATAGATCGGCTAGTAGCTTGCTGTTGGTGTGTAGATTAATAGATAGGCTAGTAGCTTGCTGTTGGTGTGTAGATTAATAGATCGGCTAGTAGCTTGCTGTTGGTGTGTAGATTAATAGATCGGCTAGTAGCTTGCTGTTGGTGTGTAGATTAATAGATCGGCTAGTAGCTTGCTGTTGGTGTGTAGATGCAACAGAAGGTGTATGGCGACATTTATATATCCTGCTGATGGTTTGTCCTTACTGGACCCAACATACAGTATCTGGTATGTAAATATGAAGATTCATGGGTGTCGTCTTCTTTTAGCTGTCTTTGCTTTCTGTTTGTCACTGAGGAGCCGCACGCATGCAGGCATCTGACAAAATATAAATATATTTAAAAAATGTAGACGGTGCATACAGTGTTTGCGTGTGTTTGTGTTTCTGTCAGTCTGTCTGTGTGTGTGTGTGTGTGTGTGTGTGTGCGTGTGTGTGTGTGTGCACGCATGTGTGTGTGCGTGTAGGTGTGTGTGTGTTTGCTAGGGATGTGACAAATGTAAGCATTTTCTTAATGTTTAAACAATAAGAAGAAAAAAAACATAAAATGACGTGAATTCACAATTCAGATAATGGTCCTGCGTATGACCACTAGGGGGCAGTGCAGTTCAAGCTACCGCAGTCCTGGCTACCTACCAGACGGCGCTCACCTTTACTGCTGTCACCCATCCACTCAGCCACGATGGTAGTTAATGTTGTTTTAGGTTCTCTGCTGTGTGCCTCTCCTCCATGTTCTCATTGGTCAGTACATGGGACTTCATTTTTTTGTTTACCTTTATTTAACTAGGCAAGTCAGTTAAGAACACATTCTTATTTACAATGACGGCCTACACCGGCCAAACCCGGACGACGCCGGGCAAATTGTGCGCTGCCCTTTGGGACTCCCAATCACGGTCAGTTGTGATACAGCCTGGAATCGAACCAGGGGGTCTGTACCCCCTAGTGGTCATACGCAGGACCATTATCTGAATTGTGAATTCACGTCATTTTATGTTTTTTCTTATCATTTAAACGTTAAAAAAGGCAGTAAAAAAGGCAGTTTAAACGTTAAGAAATGTTGTACGTTTGTCACATCCCTAGTTAAAACTATAATTTTGATATCATGTACAGTGCATTCAGAAATTATTCAGACCTCTTGACTTTTTACGTCTGGCCACATTTTGTTACGTCCTGAGCGCTCTGGAGCAGGTTTTCATCAAGGATCTCTCTGTACTTTGCTCCGTTCATCTTTCCCTCGATCCTGACTAGTCTCCCAGTCCCTGCCGCTGACAAACATCCCCACAGCATGATGCTGCCACCACCATGCTTCACCGTAGGGATGGTGCCAGGTTTCTTCCAGACTTGATGCTTGGCATTCAAAACAAAGATTTCAGTCTTGGTATCATCAGACCAGAGAATCTTGTTTCTCATGGTCTGAGAGTTCTTTAGGTGCCTTTTGGCAAACTCCAAGCGGGCTGTCATGTGCCTTTTACTGAGGAGTGGCTTCCGTCTGGCCACTCTACCATAAATGCCTGATTGCTGCAGAGATGGTTGTCCTTCTGGAAGGTTCTCCCATCTCCACAGAGGAACTCTGGAGCTCTGTCAGAGTGACCATGGGGTTCATGGTCACCTCCCTGACCAAGGCCCTTCTCCCCCGATTGCTCAGTTTGGCCAGGCGGCAAGCTCTAGGAAGACTCTTGGTGGTTCCAAACTTCTTCCATTTAAGAATGATGGAGGCCACTGTGTTCAATGCTGCAGAAATGTTTTGGTACCCTTCCCCAGATATGTGTCTCAACACAATGCTGTCTCGGAGCTCTACGGACAATTCCTTTGACCTCATGGGTTGCTTTTTGCTCTGGCATTATCAACTGTGGGATCTTATATAAGC